CTCTCTCTCTCTCTCTCTCTCTCTCTCTCTCTCTCTCTCTCTCTCTCTCTCCCCACAGCTGAACCTTCTCTGAGCTCTTCAGGAAAGAGGAAAAGAATCGATGCAAGTACACCACAGTCGAATGAGCGTACAAACTCATCCTCTAATCTTCAAAGGAGGATGCGTGCTGGTGAGCTTCATATTGAGTGATGTTGATATCTATAGTTCTTGCATGACGTGACCTTCTACGACTCTATTTTCCTTGTTCTAATTAGAAAAATTTACATAGCACTTGTAACTTCGATGACTGGAAAAATTTCCCACATATGGGTTTTTGACCGATCACTTATTACAAGATCCTAAATGAGACGAACATATGTAGAAGTCCATCAATGTGTCATTGTTAGTGCATTTTTACAGTGTTCGACATAGATAATGAATTGTTCGTTTTTTTTTTTAATCTCAAAACTAATTTTTTGCTATCAAGGTTTGTTGTCCACGTAAAATAACGGTGTTGGGTTGCGAAAGAAAGTTTTTTTTTTTAGCTTATTTACCATTTACTTACAAATTTTTAAATATATCGGTCAATTAAATTGTCGGCCTATTCGCTATTATTACAAAATAAAATCAAATCGATGTTATTGAGCATACTATAGAAGATCTTGAAGTAAATACTAAATTTGTTAACGACTCATGTGATTTTTTTTAGTGATTTTTTTAGTAATAATAGCGATGCATTTAGTAGGAATTATCCTAAACAAAAATTGGCATCTTAAAATATATGTTTTTTACAAAATTAAAATGTTCAACTCTTTCTAATTTCAGATGGTATAAAAATATGTTTTCAACTTGTGCTTTGAAAAGACCACATAGTAATTCCTCTATTTGGAAAGAAAAAAATATTATGGAATAACTAAATTTATTTTCTCAAAGAGTTATGGCTAATTACAAAACCAAATCAGAATAGAACTAGTGTGTATCCCGTGCGATGCACGGGTAAACAATATTAAATATTTATTACAAATAAGTATCGAGTTCGAGTCACTCAATGCAGAGCAAGAAAAAATAAAGATGAGGGTAAACGATATTAAATATTAATTATAAGTTAACGATGTAGGGTTAACATGTCATATAATTTATGGTATATCATTTTATTATAAACGATATAAAATTAGCTTGTTCAAGAGAACATAAAATTTGTATGTTTAAACAATTAAAATCTCCGAACATAGTAGCTTTATTTTATATTAAATGAAGACTAAGACGATTTAAAAAAAAAAAGTCTATTTTCAAAACTATCCTCTTAATTTTTGAAACAATACATTTGTAATTTGACTTAATTATTGTAAATTTTTTAAACTTATGGAAAAAAAATTAAAGAGATGAATTTCAATTGATTTGAAATTCTTAAACCATTTTGAATTTCGTGCAAAATGAAACCAAAAATTTTGAAATTTATTATGATTTTGTAATTTCCAAGAGGTTTGTTAATTTTTAAGATGGCACATAATCCTTCATTAAGGTTATTCGTCCAAAGATAGAAGCATGTGATTAGATTTTTTTGTTCAATTTGAACAAAATCCTTTATATTAGAAAGAGATTTTGAACTAAGCCCAATTTTATAGCAACTGAAATGAGAAGTGATTTTGAATTTCAAATTTTCAATTCAAGAAGGTATTTTTTTCGACAATCTGATTGTTTGGAATAAAAAACACAATCGAATTTTTTAAATCAAAATGAGAAGGGATTTTGAATTTCAAATTATATTCATGATCGAAATTTCTGGAATTTAATGGAACCAAATCCACCAATCTAGGCTGCAATGTGATTCACGATTTTCTGTTATCAAAAGAATTTCTTTTTGGAAATTAAATCAACCACAACTTTAGGAATTGGTATTTTTAAAAAATAAAGAATTCATTAATTTAATGGTATTAGCCGATTTGATGTTCAAAAGGCTTCAAATTATTTGCAAATACTAAAGTTTTTTTTTTTATTACTTAACCAGTCGTAATTTCGTTATATAAAAAAAATAATGCAATTTGGTAATCTTATTTCTGTTAAAAAAATTCTTTAATTTGTGAAAATGAAAATGTTACAACCCGTTCTTGCGCAAATAAAATGTTGACGATTTCATAATTAGATTAGTTTTGTGTTATTTTTATATATAAAAAAATATAAAAAGAATAGAATAAAAATATTGTATATTTTGATTATTAAATGAACAGTAGTTTATTTTATTTAAAAATAAAAGTATCCGATTAAAACAATTGTAGTAGCCGAGTTGATGTTAAAAAGAGTTTCTGATTTTTTGTAAATACTAACTTAAGTTTATATTATTAAGTTAGGCGTAATTTATTTTTTTAATAAAATAAAATTTGCAATGTGGTACACAATTATATATTAAAGAAGTTTTTTTTTAAAAGTTTGTGAAAATGAAAAAGGAACAGCC